GCTTTAGGATGGATGCAACGTGTCATTAAACCTGAAAGGGGCTGTTACTTATCAGTAATGGTGTTTTCCACAGGCCTTTCTCCCCACCTGCACGGGCACAGGTACCACCTGGGTGGTGGGTAGGGGGCGGGGGTGCAGGAAGGTCCCGATGTGTTGTGGTGGGGGGGGGCGCGGTAAGCTCTACGTGGGCTTACCCGGCGGGAGGCGGCCGGGGCGTCGCTGGAGGCCACCCCCACCGCCAAACCGCCCTCCACCACCTGGAGGCAGCCCCGCTTTTGCCTGGCACCGGGCTGCATCCCGCGGGAGGATTCGTCCAGAGCGGCCTCGGACAGCGGTGCGCAGGGGACTCCGCAGAAAGGCTTCCCCCTCCGCAGCCGGCAAGAAATGCAGCCTCTCGGTTGCGCGGCTCCTGCAGCAGAGAGGCCTTGTGAGCAACAGCCCTTATCTGGGGCGATTTCCCATCTGCCTCTCTGGGAAGCTGGATTGCCCTCCTGCACGGGGTTTATCTGGCCGGGAAGGGGAGGCCGGCCCAGCCATCCGCCTGCTCACTGGGCCTTGCGTGTTCTTAATGACCCAGAACAGAGTCCTCAGAGGTGAAAAACAAAACCCTGCACCCCCTTAACCCTTCCGTGCCCATCCTGGCCTGGGAGATTTCTTATCACAGATGCCTTTCTTGATTTCAGCCAGGGACTGCCCGTTCTATCTACCTCAGTCCCACCAGGCCAAAACTTTAGACTGGCCTCCCACTGCTGGAGGAGGAGGAGGAGGAGGAGGAGGAGGAGGAGGAGGAAGGTTAATCCCAAGACAGCCCTCGGAGGACTGGGAGCGGGGAGGGGCAAAGCCCTGAAAGTGTGGGCAGAATTTTGAGAAGGTATGCATTTTTCGGAGGGGAGGGTTCCTCAAGGGGTCTGTGCTAGCCCCCAAAGGTTAAGAACCATCTGCCAGCCGTTTGACCCTGCTCGGGTCTTATCTCGGGCCTAACTTCATTATCAGGAAGAATGAGGCTACCCCGAAGTGGCTGTTGTGATTAAAACAATGAGATAATGCTTTAATATTTGTAAACTGTACAGGGTTCTACAAAGGTAAATTATTAATGAAGCCAAAGATGGCTGTGTGCGTGTGTGTGTGTGTGTGTGTGTGTGCTCATGTACTTGTGAATTGGTGGTT